GCATTTCTTTGACTGTGCACGGCCTGCTGCTGGCTGTTGCGGGGCCAACGTGAACTGCTGCCGTGCCCGTTGACTGTGCACGACCTGCTTGCAATTACATGCTATGACAGACTGCTATGGATTGTCGCAGTGCTTAGAGTATAACAACTTAGAGGTGGCTAACTGCCGTCAGATTGGGAGAAAAGTTGTTGTATGCTGTTGGGTGCTACAATTGCTGGCCGACGTGAGCTGCTGTTGCGCCTAGGTGATCACATACAGGCTTTGACCAGCTTACTGTCCTGCAGCAATTGTTGGGTGTTGCGGTTGCACCTGTGGACTGTGTACGGACTACGAGCGACTGCGTATTACGACAGGTTGTTGCGGACTGCTGCAGCACTCAGAAAGTGATTGTTTAATGATGCGTGTTTGCAGTTAGAGTGAAGAGGAGGTCGCTGCCACAGGGGCTTGGAGAGTGGGGCAACGCAGGAGGAGAAGTTACCGCTACGAATCGGGGGTCTGGGAGTTTGATTCCATTGGCTGACTTTGGGAACTGATCAAGCTGTCCTTTTGGTCATCATTGCGGGGCCCTCAAGCGCTGAAGAGATCAGGGCCCTCTCATGGGAGTCTGAGTGCACCCCTCTTGTATCTGAGAGACTTAATGTTTCTTCTTCTGCCCTTCTCACTCTCATTCTAGTCTATTGGTTTGGAGAGGAAGGTAGCAGGCGGGATTGCAACCCGTAACCCGCGCCAAGGCCTTTGTGGGAGGTTGCCCCACCGATTGCGGGAGCCCTGCCGGAACTCAGGAGGAGTTTTGGAGGCAGGGAACTTAGAGGTAACCTTGGCTTTCCCTTATAAACCCAGTACAACCCTTACCTACATTCCTCCCTTTGTATTGTTTGGCAATGCTGAGTGCAACCTCTACTTTGACTTTTGGATTTACTTTCAGGACACAAATCAGACCAACTAAAGGAATGTTTGTATAATGGAAGGTTTCAATTTCTTGATTGTCTGAAGGCAGATTGTCACAAGGGGTTGCATCAGGGGAAAGGTTGGGAGGAAGGGAGTTTTGCTTGCGATTGAACGGGTCTTATAGGGTCAGGCATTGTTTCTAAGATGAATGGCCTGATTGCTATGTTTTTTCTGTTTTCTGAAGAACCAAGCATTGTTTTTAAGATGAATGGCTTGTGTGCTGTGTTTCTTTAATTGTGCCAGACATTGTTTCTAAGATGAATGACCTTGCTACTTATTTCTGAGGGGTATTGCTTGCTTGCCTTTTGAGGGTCAAACATTGTTTCTAAGATGAATGGTCTGGCCGCTGTTTTACTTGGAAGGTTTCTGAAGAGTCTCTTGGTCAGACCCAGAGTACTTTGTTTTTTTTGTGTGCTGAAAAAGGGGGAGATGAGCATTGTTTCTAAGATGAATGACTCATCTCTCCTTGATTGTTTTATTATGAGGAAGGAATCAAGGCCAGAAGACGAGACATTGTTTCTAAGATGAATGGTCTAAGTCTGAGGCCTAAGGACCATAATGAGAGCAAGGGAATAGAGATCTCTATAATGTTGTATGTATATATATGTACTTATATGCGAACAAGGCTAGTCAAGAATTATTTCTAAGATGAATGGCCTGACTATAGCCTTATCACAAGCGAAGAGAGTATAATTGAGAGTTATAACTGAAGGTAACTTGGGCAGGCTGAGCATTGTTTCTAAGATGAATGGTTCAGCCCTACGCCCTCTTTCTGAAGACTAAGGTGCAGAAAGGTATATATAACTTGGCTATTTAAATAGTTCAGGGCGACTAAGCATGGTTTCTAAGATGAATGGCTTAGTCACAACGAAGAAAAAAGTAGTTGTGCAACCTGTTCGTGTATAACTGCGGCAGGGGGCTGGCATTGTTTCTAAGATGAATGGTCAGTCTCAATGCCCTATGTAAGCAGGGTATAAAGGGTTAAAACACTGAAAGACTATGAACTAATGTTTGCTTAGTCAACCTGGGGTTGGTGAGAGTACTTACCTTTGTGGTTTGGCCTGCATGTGGCTGAGTGACATTGCTACCTAGTCTGAGTTTGGGTTGATAGGTAGCTGCTGTAGTAGCTTGCTACGTGCTAGAGCTATAGGAGTTAGATTCAAATTCTAGATTTTATGAGATAGTTTTTTTTTACTTAGTTCGATTTCTGCATTTATCTAAATTCTCTTCTGATACTTGGGTTTGTATAAATCTTGGGAAGTCATTTTTCCTACGGGAAGCGCTGCCGAAATTTCTGCAAATCCAAGGAGTTAGACAAATCTCTGACTTTCCAAAAGTTTGACTGCTTGAATCATATATAGATTAGTAGGAATCTGGAAAGTCTCTCTTTCTAAGGGGAGTGCTGCCCAAATTTTTACTAATTCAGGGAGTTTGACAAAATTGAGCTTTAGAAAGTCAAAGACTATTTCTGCTTTTATATTTAGGCTTATATGAATTCTGGAAAGACAGTTTTCCTACGGGAAGCGCTGCCGAAATTTTCTTCGTTTAGAGGAGTTAGATTATATTATAACAGGTGGCAGAGTTGACAGTCCACTCTGTATAGGGGAAACCCAACCAAAGGTCTACCTTTTCTTTGAGCCCTAACTCAGGATTAGGCTCAGACCTAGTTGGCTACCAGGAGATTAGATAGGATCACCATATAGAAGGTAGTTTGCATAAGGCTTACGGGTTTAAGTCTTGGGCGTTGACCTGTCTTGTATTACAGGCCAGCTGATCGATCTGATTCAGGACCTGGACTGGGTTTAGCTGATCCCTAGAGGGTCACCTGCTGTTATCCTTGATAACAGGTCGGTTGTCGATTCGTCTGTCTGCGACTCAACTCCAGCTCACTCCCCATACTCAACCTAAAAGGTTTTAGCCCTGGTGATCTTGTTGTTTGTTAAGGGTTTCACCCGGACTTTTATTAAATGGTCATTTAACAAAGGTACTGAGTACTTAATTAAGGTTGGTTGGCTGGAGGTTGGGGCTTGCATGGCTAAAGCGAGGGGTATGAGTATAGGAACTGGTTGGASTTGACTCYGTGTAGTGTGTGGACTCTTGTTTGACTTTTGATGTGATTGYAGGTATGTTCAGTGACCTGGGKTTTTGGTTGGACTGCCTTGCGGTTACACATATATGTATGGCTACGAGGAGACCCACTATGATTGTGAGAAGTGATCGTCACATACTTACCCCCCCCCGTGCATATGTATGTGCGTGTGTATGTGTATCTACGAGGGGAACTAGCGAGGCGTGAAGTGCCCGAGCATTAAGGGCCCAATTGAGGGTTGGGCCTAATAGGAGGGAGGGGATAACCCTCCCTATTTTCCCGAAAAAAAAAAATTCTTGGTCGAACGTTAGCCCTGAGCCTGGAATATGATGGTCCTCGCCCAGGGCGGCCCTCGATCGTGAGCTTAACGCCAGAGGAGTTTTTCTTTGATAAGCGTTAAAGGTATTTGTTTCTTTTCCTCGTTGTGATTTATTTTTGTGGAACCATAGAGTTCCGGGCGGAAGGGTTAGTGCGTCGCTGGTGATGCGCCAGACAACTCACCACTGCGCCAAACCCCTTCCTGCCCTAGGGGCCGGCCTACCCCGCACCCCTTGGGACACCTCAGGGTGCAGAAGACGGAAAGACCCTCATGCCGGTCTTGCGCCCGCTAAAGGGTTACCCCCCTTAGTGCGCGCGTCAGCCAACGCCTGAGCGTCGAAACTAACCCCTCGGCTCAGGATAGGCCATTTGGGTATGGGCACCACATAATGCGCCGTCATCGCAGTTACTCACGTAAAGTTGCATAGTGAGATGGTATGTGTAGGTCGGGCGTCCGCGCGATCTTATATTAAGTCTGCACGCGTGACGCTCACCGATTCTCGCACTAAAAGGTTATGGGTCAGGCGGCGAAACCACGAGCACGACACGGTCAATAGACTGGGATTTTGGGTTTCGCGAAGCGGCACGTGGGCGAAGGACCAGTCCCAGGCGACCTATGGGGGTCCGTACACGGGACTCACTATCCCGGTCAGCGGGCAGCCTATGGATAGGATATTGGGCCTCCTCCGCACGCGTGTCGTTTGAACCTGTTTACCGCTTTTTTTATTCTAGGAGGCCACCGGCTAATGAGAGTTGGAGTGAGTTTCCTTTTTGCACTTTCATGGTTGGACGTTATAGTCTGTGACGGCCATCAAAGTCAAACCCCTTGATGTTTGACCGCCACAACAGATTAAAGTTGTTTACTCAACCCCTCTGCACAGGGTGCAGAAGAGGGTGTGGTCTCCAACCGTGCACGGCGGTTGTCCAGCGTCGAGAGATTAACCCTCAAGGCGCGTGTCAGCCGACACTTGAGTGTCGAATGCGATCCTCGAGATTAACGAGGACCGCGCGAGTATGGGTACTACATAGTACGCCATCATTGCGACTGCTTGCGTGCGTTTGCATTGCGAGCCGATATGGCTTAGCCTTCCGTCCGCGCGGTTTTATATCAAGTCTCGCGCGTGACGCCTATCCGATTTCCGCATTGGAAAGTTATGGGATGGCTACCGCGGGGCTAGGAGCGTTGTCGCGTAGTGTTGTTTTCGTGTGTATGTGTGTGTGTTTTATTTTTGTGTTCGTAAAATGGTTTGCGCGTGGTGTGTGGGATGCGTCCTAGTCGACCGACGTCATGCCGCGCTTGGGACTTCAGCCCCCCAAGATGTCGGTTCGCGTGCGGGTTCGATAGGCGTATTACCGCGCGTACCCCCTATGCTACAGCGAACGAGAAACGCCCTCGGCTGGTCCACCTCTGCGATTGCAACCGAGTAACTTTCGTATTGTGGACTGGTNAGAGAGAGAGAGAGAGAGAGAGAGAGAGAGAGAGAGAGAGAGAGAGAGAGAGAGTCACCTCTAATGCAACATTGTGGTAATGCATGTTGGATTTCCATGTTTCCTTTTTCATGATCATTAGCATCAGTCAAGTACCCCTTCCCTGATAGAATGTGACAGAGGGTATGCTATGGATGCTGCCAGTATGTGAAGACTGCGGTGTTGACATTACCCAATATGACCTTGTTTTTTTTGGTGGCGTTTTTGTATGTTTGATTTAGAATTTAAAGGAGAAGCAATCTACCTGGAAGTTACGGCAGGGCAGTCTGTTGGGCTTCGCTTCTTGCTGAAGGTTGTGCAGGGAGCATCAAACAATATCACCATTGGAAGGGTCCCACAAAACGATCTAACGCTGAACGATCCTGAGGTTTCTGGAAAGCACGCGATTGTATCATGGCACGCCAAGGTAAGTGGGAACAGACGTATTCAGGTTTCTTTATGTGGTGCATTTGCTAATCCATGGACATGAGAGAGGTGGGGAGAGAATTCTCCGAGAGGCTAGTCCTCCTATTCTATTGTAGGTGCTTTTGGAGTACGGTTGAATCGTGCTGGGCAAAGTGGGCATATGTCTTATATGACTGATTATCATGCTGTGGTTTGTAATGTCATTGTGGTGCTGTTGCTGAGTCTTGGTGAGTACAGCTTATGTTGTTTCTTGAGTTTGTTGATGTTTTTTGATGGTTAGGTCCTGGGTCTGTCTCTTATACACATCTAGATGTGTATAAGAGACAGCTCCCGAAAGGTGGAGGTAAGTTGTGCCTCACGTAGGCCCTATCCTATCGTAGGGGTTCGCGAGAGGTATGGCTGGCGCACTCGGTCGGAGCGGCCTGAGGGAGCTCCATTTGCGTGTTCATGACAAGGTTAGCTCAACTCCTGCGTGACGCGGCCGAGAGGGTCCCGCGCTGCCATGAGCGGTGCCGGACCAATGCGCTCGACATCGCTAAGCTTCTTTTCTCTATTCACGAATGCACCCGGCCCAACATCCCGTCCGGATTCGTTTCGTGCCTTCCACCCATTGCCCACTCCGGTTCACCGCGCCCTGGTAGTCGGGGACCGCTTAATGCTGCGCTACGTGCTTCCCTGCTTCTGCCGATTTCAACAATCGTCGCTGCCCATCTGCGTTAGCGCCTCCTCCTCCTGCTCACTGCTCCGCTGCCAGTAGTCCCTCCCTCGTCTTCACCTCCGGGCGCACCCGATCGAGTTTCCGGGTCAGCTTCGTTCGCGATCCGCCCTCGTCCTCATCATCTCCGTTGACCCGCTCAGTGTCATTAGCACCAGCTCGATTAGCGCAGCCCCTACGCAGTGCCCGACTCCGCAAAAAAGTGTGAAACGGAAAAAAAACCCCGAAACTGCCCCGGCGCCCGGGCCTTCTCCCAATTTATACACGTCGACCACGTACGGGCGCCAGGCTAATCTACTCTGTGTCGTTCCAATTTCTCTCGGATGTCCCGAAGGACACAACCGGGGCCGCGGGAATGACCGGCCTCAGGCAATTCATATTATTTGGTTTTACTCATCAAGTTCCATCATCTAGTTCCGAACTCAGATCAGTATTTCAACAGTTCAATAGTGTGCTCCTACTGTGTTTTCGCGTCCACATACGGCGCGATAATAATAACAACTAAATAAAATTAGAAATAATATATATATATATATAAAAACGAGCGGTAGTCGGGCAGGGACCACGTCACCCCTCTCAGCCTGCCCGTCAGCCCCACGCTCGGCCCCGCGGCAGCAAAAGGCGAGGGGGATAGTCCCACAGGCCCATTAACCCCTCAAGCCTTTTTGCCACGCTCCTTCGCTCCCTTGCCGCATGCTGTTGGCTTCGATCCCTGCGCCTGCTGCGTACCAGTCTGATGCTATAACCAATAGGGCTAAGCCCAAGCCTGGTACCAACAGGCGTGACTCACCTAATAAAGAGGTTGCCCCCGACCTTTTGGTGCCAAAGGAGCCACCCCATGCCATTTTCTAACCCGTACTCACATACATGACCACAAAAAAAAACGCGCCGACCTCCCGACCTTGCCGCGGCTACCCTTACCTGGCCGAATCCATCAGTTCCCATCATCTGGATTCCATGCAAGTCCACACCGGCTCACTGAACCATCCAACATACTATGCGGAACCAGAGAACGGAGCGTCCCTAAATTAGTCAGTTTAATCAAAACAAAACGATTGTTATGATAGAGCACGTCGACGAACATCCACGCCGTGCCGTCTATCACGATCAAAAGGAGAAAATCACGCACGCCTCAAATCTGCGCGCCCACACACTCTCTATTTCTAGGTGTTACCGTCGAACCTTTAGTCCGCGCGCCCCCGCAACTCGCGCAGTCTTCCCGTAAATTCTGAATCGACCCATTCCTCTGTCAACTACAAAAACCCAGTGCGAGTACCCTTGTAAGGGTATTCGCACCGACACCGTGTGAGTCCAACTGTTAGTTCAATCGGGTGATCAGATCGACTCCACCAACGACGTCGATTTCAGCCAACTCAAACTTTCTCCCACTGCGCCCGAGGTCTTCATCCCAAAACTCCTTCCCTTGCGCTGCCCAAATGAACCGACATCGCCTCTCGACTTTTGGGCTTCCCTCCAATTTCCCTACCTTCTGGCAGTCCCCGATGATGACGTGGAGTTGTTGATAGTCCGAGCGTGGAGAACGAATACGGAGGGGGAGCTGTTGGGGATTCTGTTCGGAAAGGTGAGGGACGACTATCTGAAACCAATCACGAATAAATCCCTAGTGTTCCTGGCGCAGCTCCTGGATGATCTGCCTCTAGACATCTTCCGCACTGTGACGAGCGGCCCACACCGGCGGTGCTCACCCATACGTTGGTACCGCATCTGTTGTGGTCCACGTGTATGGAGCTCGACGGCGACAACTGCTACTACCCCTCCTAGGGCCATTATCTAGTCATTGACGTGACCGATCTTACCCTGTGGGATCTGATTGTTCAAAGGGTGGAGGTACGAGAAGAAGTAGACGAAGAAGAGGTAAAGGAAGAGAGAGAAGAGGTCAGCGAAGAAAAAAAAAAAACTCGGAGGCGGAATCTGATAACCCCAATTATAACGAGACGGAGGAGAGTGAGTCGGGAGGAAGTGAGTCGGACGAATCAGGCAGCCCTAGCGAACAGGGCAAGGAAGAGGACGAGGCTGCAATGCAGAAGAGGCGAGAGAGGGCGGAGGGAAAGCGACCGGTGGAAGAATCGGACGGACCAGCAGAGCGGCTATCATAAGGCGATTCCTTGCGCAATCCAGAACCGCCGCAAGAGGAGCTCGAAGGTCATGGCGTCACCACCGCGAAGGGTTCCAGAAGCTGACGCCGTAGAAGAAGTTCTTTGCCGGCTCAATCCTCTCCACCACCACGGCCCACCGTTCGTATACGTGGAGATGCGGGCGCTCGGGCTTCGTCCCCGGTCGTTATCCCGCCGTCCCCTTTATTACCTCACCCTTCATCAGCTCGTCGGCCGACCCCCGTTCCCTTCTAACTGGCATCCTTTTCCACCTTCCCTCTTCCACCAACTCTACTCCACCCGCCTCATCGCCACCGTCTTCCCGCACGCCACCACTCGTTCTCTCGTAACTTCTTTTCCCCTCCACATCCTTCTCTTTAGCGCCGCATGGCATGAATATAATAATATAGAGGTTTATTGCATAGTCGTGGGTAATCCCCACGTGTGAAGAATATGAGAATTTCCGCACCACAATTACCCGCACCCTCGCTACCCTCTATCATGACTACATTGCCTCACTCCCGCACCAAGATCATTGTTTCCCTCACATCCATCGCACCGTCTACTACACCCGACTTCCCGCTAAAGATCGACAACTCCATTGCTTTCTGCAACCCCTGCCACAAGTCCACCCTCCTCCTCCCCCGCTTGTCATAAGGCTACCCTTCCCCGACAATCTCTAGGATCGAAATTCGCGAGTGCCACCTGGATGACTTCCACACTCTTATCTCATGGTAAGTGGCACATGTTGGCTACACGTTGATTGCCGGTGTTTTCTCACGAGATCGACAGATGATTGGGAGAGCAAGCAGGAGCTTGCTCAAAATTGGAACCCCTTGGGCATCACATATCACGAACTATTTTCTGCGACCGCGCGATTTTTTGCGCAAGACCACTTTGTGGATTGAATCGGGAGGGTCCGCTAGATTACATGGGTTCCCTTACTTTTCTTGTTTTTCGGAATCGAGATCGGGGTAATCTTGTGACGGTTGGTAGCTGATCGCGCCTTAGCGAGCGCGAAAGATAACTGTTGTCATAGCCTCTTTCTCGTTTTGCTGTGGGGAATGAGAATTTTGACGCGATCATTGCGCGGGAAAATCTTTTTGAATTTTCAACTGATGTCGAGCCCCCGTGGGCTCTCGAAATTTGCTTCGTTCGAAATTTCTTTTTACAATTAGGATTTAGATTAGGAATTTGGGCGCATCTCAATTTCTGTTGCACGACGCTTCTTGCTTGCGCACGTCTTGCCGTGGCAGGATCTGTGCTATGACTTCTCTACGCCTTAATCCTGCGTGTAACTCTAATTTTTGTTTTGGCGGGCGTGATTGCAACCGTAATCCCCTCGTTCTTGATATTTTTTGTGGCGCCCCTGCACGCGCGTACTTCTCCCCCTGTTTTATTGGCCTGAACGCTTGCATGACCGGATCGATGTGTGGAGTGAGGCTACGTCCCCCACGTCGCGGCCTGACCATGCAGTCGTAGGCACTTCCTTTCCTCTCCTTCCTTCTCACTCAGGCACAACCCCGGGTATCGCGCGCACGCATGCATGCTGTAAATTTTGCAAACACAATTAAATCCCTCTCTAAGAATTATGGAGATAGCGTGGTCGAGAGGATCGACTAACGAGCAAGAGTTGGAAGGTGAGTAGTAGAGAGTTGGCCGATCTGACGGACTGTGGCGCACGGGCGAATCTGGCTTGCATGCTCAGACTAAGCGGGGTGACAAATCCGTATGGGTGCGAGGCGACAGACTGCCCGCATCGGGATGTTGAGAGAGAGAGAGAGAGAGAGAGAGAGAGAGAGAGAGAGAGAGAGAGAGAGAGAGAGAGAGAGAGAGAGAGAGAGAGAGAGAGAGAGAGAGAGAGAGAGAGAGAGAGAGAGACGAGATGTGTTGTGATGGTGTTTTTTTTCTATTATTCTGAGCAATTTTAGTATTCGGTGCAAGTCGCCCTTGTATTCTTTGTTTTATTGGCATCTCGAATCTTTTCCTTGTTTCTTCTCAAAGACTGATGTGTGATTGTCTCCCCGACTTCCCTTCTCTTTTTTGCTTGAATTGGCAATCTGATTGGTTGGTCACCTGTGACCAAATTTTGTGTGATCCCCGGGCCAATGGCCAAAGAATTGATGAACTTCTTTTGAGTGTGCATGTTTGAAGATGTATGCATGAATGTTT